CTCACTCACTCACTGCCCATTGTGCCCACTGGCACGTAGAACAGCATATAAATAACAAAGTGGCACAAATATAATTTAATTTAATGGTGTATTATGAAAAATGCTTTAATAACATACTGTCATTTATGCTCCTTTTCACTCTGGCCAAGGTGGCAATCACTTGGTCAGTTCCAATGTCTTTTAATTGAGGAACAGATGGTGTCAAGGTCATTACCTCTCTTGAGTGTCGAGTCAAGATCATGTCAGCCGAGTCTGAAAATCAACAGCAAGGAAATACGAATTAAGTCATAGCCAGACCCTCATGTCTAATGGATCATCAGACTTGTACTCTGCAACTCTTGCATGTCACAAGTCGTGTCTTTATGCAGTCAGGTGATGTCTTTTACCACCTAGCCATAAAAGCAGCTCATGATTTCACAACAAATTTTTAACAGGAAATGTCTTGTTCAACAATAGAGTTCCTTGTAAATTTGTATAAATAATAAAGTCAGTACATAATAGTGGAGCTCCGGCAGCCTGAAGAGCCACCAAGCGGAGCCCCATACTTATATAGGAAAGAAAAGGAAACTCATGAGTTGATTTTCTCATGGTTATCATGGCTAGCAGTATTGCTCCTGGGCGCATACGCAACACGGCGATGATGACAACAGAGTCACAACATGGCGGCCGCGGCCATACTCCAAATAATAGGTTGACAGAGACATGCAGCCTTGGTTTACCGTGTACTTCTTTGATATTGGACATCCATGTTATGATCAATTGACACCTGTCAAAACAAGGTATCCACTGACCAGTATCACATGACCATATCGCAGGCTCAAGTTTACAGCTCATTGAGGTCACACGTGTTTCTGAAGTTGACCGCTGACCAAGTGCTGGTTTTTGATTGGATCACAGGCTCATGTCAGGTTAATTTTTTGAAAACAGGGCAGGATTGTTCGGAAGATAGGTTAACGCTAACCCAGGATTAAAAGTTAACCAAATTATAACTTTTCTGCTGTGCAAATGTTCTTTGCTGCTTTGTTTTGTGTATATGGTGATTATTACAACTCAAAACAGAAGGCCAAACAATACACAGAAAACCTCACCGCAAAGTTACAAAACTCAAATCAAAATTCCACCTTTCCTGGGTTAGCTTAATCGGGCCCTGAACAACCTGGCCCAGGAGCTACGCTTTTAGGCTGGCCTAAATCCATACATTAAATCCTTTATTGACTGAGCCTGTTTGATCAAAATGGCTGGATATTGACCTCAGTCTTTTCAGTGTGTTTCAGTTTAGACGTTGATGGCATCTTGGTTCATACTGCAAATAGCCAATATCCAGCCATTTTAAACTCACACTTGGTCAAGAACACATAATTATGTATCCATGTTTGCCACAGGCACTTTAATACCTTCAGTTGTTATAAATAGACTCTCTTCTCTTTCTTCACCCAGCAGAAAGAGAAGGGAGTCTCTGTCACGCAGAGTACCAGCACTATCTATACTATTAACAAATTTTGCCATACAAGTGAAACTTAAGTTTTATTTTTGACAAATTTATGCTTTAAAATGGAGGGATCGAACATTACACAGATATCAATGAAGGCTACCCTATTGTTACTCTCCTGGCAGGGATACTACTGTTATTTTGCCTATTATAGTGTACATCTATACCGTACATACAGGACTGCAACTGAAGATGAAATAACAGCATACATTTGTATCATGAAATTGCTTGGCCTGGTACCAAATAAATGCTTGTTACTGACCTTCGTACACACTGTGATATGCAAAGTGGAGATACAATAAAAACAACAAATGCACAGCAGCCACCACACAACCAGCAATCAAACCCTGGCGTCGATTGAATGTGCGGCTCATAAACACAGTCACCTGTAGGATAGAAACAGCCTTTTTTTTACGAAAACAAATTGTATCACAAAATATACTACCTACATGTAGTGCATGCACAAGCAATGCATAATCGTCTAGGATTTGACATGGGAGCAACAAAATTGATTAATAATTAATTATCATAATAATTATAATTTAATTTATTATTTTAATAAATGGTGCCAATGGAAGGCATCGTCCCCTGATGGTGAGCATCCTAAACCCTGTATCAAACTGTCTGGGTTCAAGCCCTGACCAGGGCCATAGAGTCAAGTTCTTAGGCAAGATGCTACCCTCACAGTGCCTCTCTTCACTCAGGTGTATAAATCAGCACCGGGGAATTTACATGCAATGCTGAGGGTGACCCTATAATGGACTTGTAAGCATCTCAGAAATACACCTAGTCAACTCATGCTAATGAAAAGTTCTGGGGATAATTTACGTGGAAAAGAACCCAGATACAATGTAACCTTGTCATAGTGAACAGATTTTCGCCAGTTAAAAGAATTGGCCCCTTGTTACATCAAGGTTCCACTATACTTGACAGTCTTGCTGTTGTACTTGACAGTTGTTGTTTGTGCTATATATGTATGTTGTTCACTCACCAATTTAGCAGCTGATAGTCCTCCAAACATCAGCCACAAGGCATAAAAGAATGAGTGTGAATGGTGATACCCAACGGTCGTTAAAAAAAGGCAAAGAACATTTCCAAACAATGCGTATCCCTGAAGTTCAAATATAAATCAATTGCATTTATAAAGGAGATGCAATCATTGCAGAGTTGGAAACATGATTTTAATGAGATTATCAATAATCAGAATTAACTGAGAGATCTGCTGTTGGCCAGCGGATAAACGCTGCGGGCATGCGTAGTTGTGCCATTGCTGTGCGGTTTGACCCTCAAGGTTTTGCTCTGCCTTGCTTTGTGGCTTTGCCTTTGGTTTGCCCCATCCTACCCACCTCTTGGTTCATGGTGGGCCCTTGTGTCTAGGTAAGTATACTTATTCTCCACTGAGAATTCAATGTGACAGGTGCCAGGGGGAGGTGACCCGTGGGAGGTTGCCATGGTTACCCCTTCATTTGCATTTTGCCAACACTTGCTCATTGCCTGCTTTGCTGTCAATTGGCATCCACCCTCCATTTTGAAAATTGCTTATCGACAAGTTAAAGTTTTCTTAAAAAATAGCTTGTCATGACTGTCCCACCAAAAAGGACTGGGATTCAAGTTGGTGAAGGCTAAACGTCCATCAGTGTGCTATGTTTCATTTTTGCAATGTCCTTTAATATCATTTAAACAGATTGCACCATTCCTCAATATGGATTGAGTGTTACCTGCTAGCTTTACCTAAAATGTATAAATTTATCCTTGTTTTTCTCCATTAATTTATGGTCAACATAAAACACCAAGGCCACAAATCAAATTGGAAAAAAACCTGGTATGAACCTTGACCTCACTTAATAAAAGGTATACTTACTGATAAAGAAAGAATTTGGAGAAAGGTTAGGTGGGTGCTGCACATGAATGCCACAGAATAGAAAAATGCTGCTCCACCAAGCCAGTAACCAAAACAAACTCCAAAAGCAGTGCCCATGAGTGTTCCCTCTTGCTAAATAAACAAGAACATTGCAAACATCATTAACAAAATCTTTATTAATAAAACAATTTCACTCACAAAAAAAAAATTATTTTTTAAAAACAAACAAAGGATATCAGTTTCTTTAATAATAATATACATGCAGGCACACTTTTCACTAGAGATTTTAATTAAGCTTTGATCTAAACTGCTAAAAGCTGGTCAATAAAGACCATGTTGCAATGATAATTTAATTATACTCTATGTAGCCTGTGTACAGAATTCTAGAATCCTTCAAGATTGTTTCAAATAATCTGTTTAATTCACATGTATTTTTAACCAACTTACATGTAAACCCTGTTTTTTTTTTCTCTCTCTCTAAAAGCGGGGATGGAAACTCACTCACTCACCCACCAACTGTAGTCACTCGCCTAGGTGATTCTCAATCCTTTTGGGTTAGTACATATTGAATATTTCCTTCGTACATTCCTAAAAGCCAATGCCCCAATCACACCTTGAGTGAACTAGTTTAACTAAATCAGGTTTAGGTTTTTCCAACTTGTTGATGACGTTTTGAAGTCATATCAAGGTGACAAATTTTAAACCCCCTTGCTAACATATTTTAATCAAACAGGTTTTTACCTTTTTAAGTCGTGGGTTGTGTACGGTATGAGCAAGTAATTTTTAACCTTGTCTAGTTAAACCACTTTTACACATGTCTAACATGTATGTTGGTGTGAATGGGATGCTGGGTGACAAATACTGTCAAAATTAAGTCTCCATCCCAGCCTGGTTCCCTCAGAAATATGAATTTCAGTCAGTTCATAACCATGATTGTATTTTCAGTTCGCTCAGGAATAAACAAATTGTGTAGCCCTGAGTTATGAAATATATGTTGTAGGTCAAAATGAAATTCAGGTTAAAATGATTTTAACCTAGTTTTATTTGCAATTTCATTTGTCTTCTAATCCTAATTATTCATGATTCATGAATAATTAGGATTAAGAGACAAAGGAATTTCATTTCAATCTGAATTTCATCTTGACCTACAACATATACAACCTCGTTCCCAGGGTCTCTCATCCGCAACTTTTTCTTTGCAGATTACAAAATTTCCCCGTCCACATGTAGCATATTCAAATCGAATTCGCCTGTCCACACACACTCGATGGTATCCAGATTTACTTTAGAGAAACTAGGCAGGTGTTGTGCCACCACATTGGTTTATTGTTCAGTAAGAGACTGAACACAACTTTGCCACCTCATTGGATTCGAAAATATCTGGATTCACTGTCCACGTGTTATCAATTAGTTGCACATTTATTTTTTTCCACTCTGGACAGTGAATTAAAAAATAGCTGGATTTGCTGCTGAATTCGCTAGATGTGTGTGGACGGAAGCCGTATCCAGAAAGAAAAAGTTGCGGATTCAAAAATATCCGGATATGTGTGGACGGGGCCTCAGAATATGTGTACAACAACCTTACCACTGTGTGTCCAGATGTTTTCATGCTGAAGAGAAGAATGGCAATCAGGGTAAACACCAACATCATCGGACCATACAATTCACCAACAACTGTCTGTAAAAAGAAGTCAACAGTCCTTTTTACAGACTGGTATAACTATTTTAAGGACATAAAAAGTCTGGCATTTCCACTTAGTGCACAGACACACTGCTAATGCAGCAAATGAGAATACTAAAACTCTTACAGGATTCTTATCTACACATAGTACCTGGGGAGATGCTGTTGACGGTAACTTAGGGATCAGTGAGTGGAATAACCTAGAAAGAGACAAGAGCAAGTTAGTAAACAGGGGTTTTAACAAGTTAAAGAAACAGATGATAAAAAAGACGCAGCAGGCAGCTACTGAAAGTTCAATTGTCACTAATTAATATTATTTAGATTCCAGAAGAAGAACACAGCAAATTTAGGACAATTTGCTTGATGTACATTGGCAGATATTGTCTGTGGCTGGCTCTAGTTACTAGCTCAAGTAATTAATATATTTAATAATACACTTTGAAATTGGCTGTGCATGAGCTTAAATATTATTATTAATACTGAAAATTAATATTAATAATAGGCTCAAATTACAAAACACACAAACAGATCATTCTGAACTTCAAAGATAAGAGCATTTACCTGTTGCGAACTTCAATGGGTTCAACATCAAAATAGGGTCTTAGTATATCAATGTTAGCATACAGATCAAAAGCTCTTTTGGCTGACTGCTTACCAGCCTGCCAAACCTGTAACAAAATACAAGAACAAGACTTAAACACAAAGAGAAAAGACAGAAAATTTGCCCATTTTGTTATGTTTCTGACTAATACAATTTATTTAAAAGTCATTCTGCTAACCTGCGGTGACATCCCAAAAGATAGACTTTGGAAATGATTTAAAAAATTATTGCCAAAATTTGCAGCCAAATCATGCCAGCAAAACATTTATAATAATCATTTGGACAAAACTTTAATTTATGCTAGTTATTACAACAGAGTTTTGAGTATTAATAATATACATGTATGTACATGCAACATTCAATTGACAAAAACCCCAAATTGATGTTAAGGTTACCGTATACCTTCAGGGGTGTCTCACATGCAAGTGATGTAGCGCGTGCAGTTTAAGCAGTAGATAACCGAATTAAAGCTTATAGAGCTGACTATCAAACTATACCAACAATTTTGAAATAAAATGAATTGTCGAATTCTTGACGACCACTAAATGCGAGTGCCCGAATCACCTTTCGAAAGCTACAAGTCAAAGCGAATTTTGTTTTTTGCCAATTTCATTTTTTCCTCGGTTTCAGGGCCCAAAGTGCTTGAAAAACATGTCTGCGTTTTGCCATATTCAATTGCAGTAAAAAGTTACAGAAAATTTTTGAAACAGGATTAAAAAAATGTAGAGTGATCGTACAAAAATCGCTCTCAAAGAAAAATTTTTTCGAAATTAACACTTCGCAGCAATCTTTTTGTAGTTTATATGTTTAACTAGCTACTGTTCAAATTTGAGGGCAATTGAACAAATTCCCTTTGAGTTATAACTCTTTAAAGTGTCTGCTTCAAGCAAAAAAAATTTATTTGAGAAAACAGCACTAAGAAAAATCTTCTGCTTTGCAAACAAACTCTGCCCACAAACGCCTTCAACTGGGTTCTCAGATAACTGAGCCAATCAGTGCAGGGACAGTTTACTACCGTTTACCTCCTGGTGAAATTTTCACATGAATCTCCAAAAAACCCTTGTGCTTTGCAATGTGCTCAAGGCGCCGAGGGCAGAGAGATAATTTTTCTGTAGCTCAGTTTTTCTTGAAGCTGGTCACTCTAGCAAAATGGGGAAGATGAAAAAGAATACGAGCACTAGAGTGGCTGGGCAAAGAAAACAACTAAAAGTGTGGTGGAGCAACAGTGCATGGATAATATTTCAATGGGTCTCAATGAATCCAACAATTCACCAATAGATATCAGATTCATCAGAGTCTCTGTCAACATCCCTATCATTGCTGTCAAGTTCCCGAATTTTTACAGAACCTTCCTTTTCTCTTACCCCGACTTTTTTGCCCGCCTTATATGATAGCTATACCTTCATCCGCATGGCGAACTTTCGCTTATTCACTCATTGATGTATTTTCATCTGTTCTTCGCTGTTTTCACTTTTTCGAACTGGTCCATGTTTTTAACGTGGTCTATGATTACTTATAACTTAATAGAATTACACCTAATACCAAAAATGCTTGGTAGTCAGAACAACAATGCTGATCAACTGAGTAGTTAATTCATGACATCTGCATCGGTTATTCCGCAGGAAAATCGTCTCGGATGATTGCATATGCGCCATAGGGCTGTCAATCTAGAGGTAAACTTTTACTTCCAGCAAAAACGTAAAACTGCCATTTCTCCATCAAAATTTAGTCTTTTTCAAAAATTCTTTTAAGAAATTAGAGATTATCCTTCAACCACTACTTTGACCCAAAAATCCAAATTTCAAGAAAATTGCTGACCTGAAGGTATACTGTAAACTTAAGTTACATTGATTGTATAAATAACTGGATCTTTCAAAATGGAGTTGATACCAATTTCTCTGTTTTCACAGGAACTCATGAATTCTACATGTAGAAAAGTCAATGATAGAAAAGCTTAAAGGAATAGCAATCTTTTGTCTTCCTCCTGCCTCCACTCACTCCTTATCAGGACAGCCTTTTTGCCTGTTTCCCTTTTGGCCTGAATTCAATGTCTTAAGCATATTTGGTGCATTTAAGAGCCCACTTTTCATGAACTACGTTTTCAAAAATCTAGTTACTTCTCTTTTTCCTGTATAAGCATAAAACAGTGCTAATATACTTACATAACCTCCAACTTCCTGTGCCATTCTCTCTCTAATCCTTTCCATAAACTCTGTCTCTGAAATTCCCTGTCGACTTGGGCTCCCCTCAGGGCTAATGAAGAAAAAAAAATCAACGCTGATTGAACAGAGAGAATGGCATCATAGTATTGAACCCAGGAATGAGGATGGGGAGACTCTCGCTTTGTTGAGGCAAGAAACCCCTCACCTTTTTACCACTCATTCTTCATACCGGCTCCTCAACTACTAATTGAATGCCTGGAGCAGGCTATAAAATACCAACCTTTCCACATTTCCTGGTTCTGACTGAAGATCATCAGTGTTAGCAATATCAATAACAGCTGAGGAGTTATCCTAAAAGATAATTGAATTATTAATTATTAAATATTTATCATAATTATCTGGTCTACATATATACACATAGGATTGAATTGCACTTTTGATAATAGGCCATTTGCAGAACCAAGTTGTTACATAATCTTGTCAAACTAAAAATAAGGCCATAGAATGATAGCAATGTTTAGGTGCAAGATTTCATAGCAGCATGAAAGTTTGCCTCTGTGACCTTTTGTACCCTCTATATACTATAGATCATCCAACATTTTTAATTCACACAAGTCATATTTTTCAATAACTTCAAACTGGCATTTATACTAAGATATCAATTGTCTCAAACTTGCGCCTTAATAAGCTCAGCACGCACTCATGCTACATGTATTTTCTTTGCCACACAGCAATATGTTGATTGACATGGTCATGTGATGGGCCTCTGGGTTATTACATTACAGTCATGAGATTAGCAAGACAGGACAAAAACAAAACAACTCAGAACAGAAGGAATACATAAAACACAACTGCCACTAGGTTATGAGTCAGCTGTTAATGTGATCTTCACACCGATGGCAAACTTGTTGCTTTCTGGGTGAAGTGTACAATGTATCAACAATGGGCAATTTAACCCCTAACATCAATGGCTCATTGCACATACTCAACCATATCATAACAGGTGTTACTGGTTACAGCCCTTAATGACAGCCCAGCATAAAATTTATATACTTTTCTGGTGTGGGAAACCCTTGCTGAATGCATGTATATGATACTGGTATGACAAAAGGTAAATGAATGCATCGCCTGATAAAACTTAGACCAATAAATATTGGACTAGTTATAGTCAGTTTATGATTATATATACAACTTATGTTAGTATATCTCATAATAACCCAATGCAAACTTATCAGTCACTGTCACATATGCAAGTTTAGCAATGAGCCTGACCAATGATTTTTCCCCTGGCCTCATATAAAAAAGTAACCATTACAAGGTAAAAAGGATTTGTTCAAGAATGGAATTAAACTTGTGCCAGCTAGAAAGGTGGAAATTTCGTATATCCTCTTTTTTTTCTTTCTTGTTGCAGACACGACCCAACGTTAGCTATTAGCTTTAAATATCATGTATAAAATAAAGGTTATCATTATTAGCATTAATAAATGGATAATTACATGGATAAAAATAAATTAAATTATGCTGTCTGTACAGGTTAAAATTAAAGGAACATCACACAAGGTAATGTTTGCATAAGTTTAATCTAAATAAATATTTAGTCTTTTCTTTAATTTAAGCTTGATTTGAATATAAATAAGGCTTCATTTAATTTACAGCAAATTGATTCGACAACATGCTTTCAGCATGACATTTTTCAATCCTGATATTTCAGTTTACCTGACCAATATTTAAGCTAAATGTTTAAGGCTTTTAAAGCTTAAGAGAGCTACGCTAAGCTTACTATGAGCTTGATAAGATACGTGTTATGCTTGTCGCACGTAGGCGAAATCAACCAGTTCTATTTTCTGTTTTGGCGTCAAATCCGCAACAAACATAACTAATTTTAGAAGTCTCGATTAGAGAAACTACAGTAGAAAGTTAACTTGAGATTGCCAGCCTACCTGTACCAGATACCAACTGGAAGAGCGGCTTTCACTAGAAGCAGAACTGCTTTTATCTTCGTCGCCTAGCGTCGCCATATTGGATTCAGAAGAATCCAACGCACTCAAAGGATTCTGGGTTATTGTTTTCAAAAGGCGAGGGATTGTGGGAATAGTCCTCGACAATATTCAAGATGGCGGCACTTCCGCAGAAAAAGTACTACCGGCAGCGAGCCCATGCTAACCCTATGGCAGATCACACTCTTGAGTAGTAAGTACAAAGAGAGAATTTTGAAGAACTTTTGAATATCGTAGGGCGGGGTCAGGAGCTTTTGGGGATTGACCATGTGGACGTGAGCTTATATTATGGGGAAACGACTTGCCCCTGATAAAGCACCATGCCCATGCAGTCATAAATAATCTGGAACTTTGAAGAGCATACTCGCTTGATTTGAATGCAATTTTATATTCTTTGCAAATCAGGCATTATTTGCTTGTTATCTCTCGGCGGAAACCAATACTGAATGGATTCTGGAATCCCGTACTCAGGTCTCACATAATTTTGAAAATTGTTGCAATTATTAATTTTCCTTGAGTAATGTATTTATCCTTGGATGTTTTCTGTGTTGTATAGTCCTGTATCGCCAGATGAAATGGATTGGAGGACTTTATTTCCCGCATTTTACCCTGAGAAGGATGACAAAGGTAAAACTGCAGATGAGAGGAGTGCCAAAGTGGAGTTTGCAGACATTGGCTGTGGATATGGTGGCTTGCTTGGTAATCTATTTAATATGTAAAAGTTAAAGAGGCATACTACAATGTACATGTAACAGTACTCATAATGTTCAGGCAATGGTTACATTGTTACTTTTCAGTTGTTCTTTTTTTTATCAAATTAATGTACATATTTCTCTATGTAGACATACTCTATAGACAGTAATAGACTCAATATGAATAGCTTCCTTTGATCATCGTACAAAATTAATCTAAGCCACAAGCTTCAGAAGATATCCACACCCATAGGGAGAAACCATCACTCAATCAATAAATCAATCATGCAAAAATTATCATCATGACTGTAATAATTTCCTTTTGTATTTTGACCTATCAAATAATTTTTTGTAGTGTTAAATATTGAATATTCCACTCTTATTTTTATTCATTGATGATGGTAACAGGACTGAAAAAGGGTAGCCTGGATCTCTAAAAATTATGATCTTTTAAATAGTGGATTTCGCTTATAAATACAAACTGGTAGTTATAAATTTACCAGGTTCATCATGGTAGGGGGATAAGGAGGCAGGAGGGGAGAGAGCAGGGTACAGGATGGGAGATTCTGACCCTCCCCCCTATCCCGTCCTATGCATAAAGTCCACATTGAGATATCGTTCTTCTCAGAAAGGAGTGAAGTTGTTGAAATGGCAACAAGTAGAATGCAAGACTTCTCTTTGTACTTTTAAACGTCAAGTAGTTGCAAGTGTCTTTTCGTTTTGCAGTTGACTTATCACCTATGTTTCCAGACACTCTCATGGTTGGAATGGAAATAAGGCTAAAGGTGGGGTGATCTTCTAGTTCCAATGAAATTGAATTATCGCAGTCATTTTCAGTCATTTATTTGTAAATGCTTGTCAGTGTTGCATATTATCAATGCAGCATTGCCAGCTTGCATGACTTGACAAGTTAAATCAATTGACAATTGAAAGGCACAGAATTGAAGAATGAACTCTTGTTATTTATAGGTTTATATTCGGGAACTTCAACTTGCAGTGTTCGTAAAATAATTGTTATAACCTAGTGCAGGCAAAGATCTAGAGCTAAATGAACATTGTTAGCCCTCTTTGTACTTTGCACTTGCCTGGTCATATTGCATCCCCATAATGTTACATGTAGGTGATAAAAATATTATTTCCCACATCTCACTAGTGTGTGGCTCTCCTACATGTAGGTCAGTGATTATGTAAGTGACAGAGTGATGGCATTAAGGACAGCTCACCCAGGACAGTACCAGAACATTCATGTTATCAGGACTAATGCCATGAAGTACCTACCCAACTATTTTCACAAGGGGCAGGTAAGTCTCTCTGTAGTTTAACACAGTGACGTATCAACTCATAGGTCATCTGTGGAAAGTGAAATTTTTTATGTTATCTTGAAGTTTCAGGCTTTATTTGTAACGTCAAGTGATTTTTTGAGGAAAGAAAACAGTGACAAATTAAAGTTGATTGAAAGTTGGTCGATAAGATTGAGGAGCCTAAGTTGTGCAGTTCAATTTATCATGTTTCATGTATTTACTTGCATTTCTTGGCCTACGTGTAAGTATATTACAGAGTTAACTTGCAATTGAAGTGACCAGCTCCCAGTGGGCTTGATTATTACACACGAAATAGGTGACATTCTCACAGGTATCTCTCTTAAAGGAAAAGCTAATTGAGAATATGAATTAAACACACACTATACAAAATGTAGGTTTGCATTTCTGCATGCATGTGCACAAATTAAAAATGTCTTTGAACACATCCAGTAACTGGCTTTCTTTGCTTTTCTATGCTGTCACAATTTTACAAAAGGAAACTTTGCCCTCTTCAATGGCTGAGAGAAGCCTTGCTAATGTGCTTGGACCCTCTCTATGCCATCACAGGAGCATGGTAGTGCTATGATCTTTATTGTTGGAGTACAAAGGAATTCATATATTCTGTTTGAAATGAAGGTTTAATCCCTAAAATATTAATTTTAGTAAACAGAAGAAAATCACACAATCATGTGTATCTGTTAGAGAAGTAAAATGTTTTAATCATTTCACTCCTACAGCTAAAAAAGATGTTCTTCCTTTTTCCTGATCCACATTTTAAACAAAAGAAACACAAATGGAGAATAATAAGGTAATGTTTTTATGTATAAACTATGCTGGTTAGAAGTTAAATTCATTATGGTTTTGGTAAAGGACAGATAAGTGTGAGAGTTCTTGACAACTAATGATTTTATCTTTTCTGGCTGTCAATTCAAGCTATTATTAATTAAATTGCTCTCAAGACTGATCAGCATGCGTTGCATGTCAATTCTGCTTTTGTAGATTAATCAATTTTCTTGAATTCAATGTTCACATTACTCTCTTACAGCCCTACCCTGTTGGCCGAGTATGCTTACGTCTTAGCTGTTGGGGTAAGTGACATGCTACTTTTGAAATAAAATGTTGTGAGGGCCATATATTTGTTGGCAATATTCCAAATACTTTGCTCTTCATGTACGAATATAAATTTCAAACCCGTTGTTGTGTGTTTCAAGCATTTGATGGGTGCAAAAGTTAAATATACAAAACAGAAATGTGTTAGACTATCAGTAGTCCCTCTTTTGCTTAGTCTGTCATGCGTGACATGAAAGAAAAACTGTGAGAATAAAATGGTCGCATGGAATCCTCACCCCCAGGATTTTGCGCGGCCATTTTCTTTTGTGTCACGCATAACGGACTAGGCAAAAGAGGGACTACTTGTAGTCTAGAAAATGTGTAGGATCTGTCAATGCTAGATTAATTCACAAGATCGTAACAAAGCAAGGGGAAATCACACATACCAGAGGCTAATATTAGGGGTGTAACGATTCATATTCCTTGCAATGCGATTCAATTTCGATTATTGCCTTTCGATTTCGATTACTTCAATTTGATTATGCAAACTATTAATTTAAAAGATGCAGGTGGATTCACAATCGCTTGGTCATTCATTGCCATATTTGAGAACTTAACAATGAGTGTGTCATACATGGTTTGCCTTATTTGGAAATTCTCTAGGGGCGATAGAAGGGCAACATTTTTACTAAGCATGACAAAATGGCGCATGGAATGCAAACATCTTTGATTGTCAATCAAAAATGCACATTCTAAAGAGGTCTGGATTCTGATTTCACAATATAATAACCCACTGAGCGCACCCAAGGAAAGGTCCGCCATAAATCGAACCAAACTCAAAACGTGGAATCCAAGAATCATGAATCGAACCGAACGGTCATATTCACGATGAATCGAAAATTCAATTAATCATTACACCACTAGCTAATATGCGCAGTTTCCAAGCAACAAGTCAATTAAACTTAATTTAGGCTTCTTAAAACTTGATACTGTTGATTGTACAGAATATTAATTTTGGAATATTTGCTTCTTGTAACAACACTGTTATATTTCTCTGTTTTAAAGGGTCTTGTTTACACCATAACTGATGTTCCTGACTTGTGTGACTGGATGAAAAAGCATTTCATTGAGCATCCTTTGTTTGAAGCAGTCAGCGAAGAGGAACTGGTAATGATTGGAAATAGTTTAAGCCATGTTAATAAAATGGACTAACTATTTCAGATCTCTGTGACAAGCTAACTATTGCTCTGAGGCAAACTACAATCATGGTCATTGCGTACAAAAAAAACAGCAATTCATTTTACCCTCCCTACCCGTGGACATTGCTGGGTGTCAGGAGTCAAACATCAGGGGTGTCGCTAAGGGCCGGTTGTGGGCAAATTTTACCATACGTGTAACTAACACCCAGTTGAAATTTCAGACGAAAATGAATACTTAATTAAACTTTGCAGCTGCCAAAGACCAGAAACGCGAGCTGGGCTTGTTAATGAGCCGACATCTCTGAAACAGGTCTCTTGTACTTTTTATGGACTTCAACATTGTACAGGTGCTGTGGGGTAAAGACCTTTGCAAGGCTATAGAGATAATAAGAACTATCATCTGCTCACCATCTATAATCCAGTGCAATCTTAGGATATAGATCTTCTTTGGTAATGGCTGGGTGTGGATTGACAGCATAGGATAACTTTAAGAGTGAGGTGTCAAGCCGAGGAAGGGTGGGAACTAGGGGTGCCCTTTCAGATCATATCGCTTATGTAGGGAAGTACAGTAAGCGTCCCCCAGGGAGAAGTTTGTAAGTGCCTCCGAGGGGTACTCTCTATAATGGCGTATACGGGGAGACTCCGCGCAAAAGGGGTACCTTTTCTAGGCTTCAGGTATATAAAAGGGTGGGGATTTCAGATCACCCTTATACCAGGGTACACGCATACTATTTTCATAAATGTTCGTGTGGACTTATTTGTTTTGTCTTCGATTCCAAAGGCCCAGGATCCCGTTGTGGAAAAACTTTACCAGAGCACGGAAGAAGGACAGAAAGTGACCAGAAACAAAGGAGTCAAACTTGTGGCTGTATTTCGGCGAATTCAAGATCCATACGTCACGTAAAGGGGCACAATGAGTCCGCACCAAAATTCATTTAGAACCGTGGAAGGGTTTTGTGATGGTGTTCTGACAAGCCTCAATGAGTGCGTGCCTCAACTGCGTGATGGATTTAGCAGGGAATAAGAACTGTCACAAATAGATCGAAATCTGAAGATTGTTTTAAAAGGATGAGAAGTTGGTTTATGTCGGAGATACTGTCAAGAAAAACGTCCTCAACTCCGTTAAGAAATAATGCATTTTTTCGGCGTGCCACTTTCATTCAGAAAAGAGCTTTGAATAAACATTACGACTGCTTTCTCAAGTTTCTGTAGCATGTATGTCGCCAGAAAGAAAACGTTAGCTTGGCTTTTACTTAGGAGGTGTTCGTGGAACAATGTTGTTATCTACAGAACTAAAAAAAAAAAAGTCAAAAATACATGCAGAATTTCAAACTAACGCTGCGTGAACTCGGCCACGGACAAACACGTTCATAATTCGGACCAAATGTCATTTCATACTCAGTCCAACCTTGATACAACCTCAAACCATTATTTCAAGAACTAATAAACGGTATTTTCTAAAGCCTGGAGATGTATGTGGTCCTTCCCTTCTTCGCGCGAAGCGAAGAAACTGGGAAACGCTAGCCTGTTCCAGGCTCACGGTTAGTGGGGACGATCGCAAAAGCGGGCGGGCGACGTGCGGGGGGCGAGAACGCCTTAACGAAGACAAAAATTTCTGTTCGACTTTTCTTGTCATCGATGCGTTAATTTTATTGTAAAGCTGTTGAGATGACCACAAACATGAGAGGGTTTCAACGCGATATCCAACATTAACAAATGAGCTCCAAGGACTTAAAACTATCTGATCACGAGTGGCAGAAAATCGCACTGTAATCTTCCCCTGTGTTTGATGTGTTTTCTTGAGCCGCTTAACGAGTCGTATAATAGAACGAAGAGAAATGAAATTACCAAAAAGAATGTCATAGGTTATGATTTTCGTTTTGAATTGATGAATATTCATACATTTCCAGTAAACTACTGTAGTTTAACGTTCTGAAGACATACAGGCTAACTACACAGTCCAAACTACTGTCAGGGGAAAAATATTGCACTGGTGTTAAAAATACTACTTCTTCTTTGTTGGAGCATTGTTTGGCTAAAATTTGTCAAACATCTTTTAGGTTCGGAACTTAAACAAACAGTGACTTGCGATAAAGCAATCTGTATTTTGTTTTAAGTAAATAAGTTTCAATACAGTCGCGTAGAGATGGTCGCTGTTCAAACTTCGGTTTTGTACAGTAAGAAAGTATAAAGAAAAGCTATTTGGCTTTAGTTTCAATTTTCCTTTTGGCCTCGGCTCAAAAGTAGTGTATCTTCATGCAGCTTTTCACGCTGAATATACAGCGTACGCATAAAACTTTTGTTAAGTCTTGTTGGCACATTTATCTTGTAGACTGAGTTTAGTTAGTTGACAACTTCATTGAAGCCGACTCTATTCAGATGTCTATTCATGCCTTTTAGGTTGTCATTAGTTTCGAGCTGACTTTATCTAGCCGTCTTTATTTTGTTCCTTACATGATGCAATCGTGTATTGCGCTAGTATAAGTAAAGTACTCTGTTCATTGTAAGACGATTTACATCTTGGCGACTTACATCTCGACGATTTACGATTTCACATCAACGAGTTGTACAACGTAGACTTGCAGCGAAGTACGAAGAATAAACGAGTGAAGTCCAAGTTCTCTGTCCTGATTTCAGCTGTAGCAGATCCGACGGTACTTTGGAAACAGTGACAAGTTCCTTTCCCGCAGCAAGCGAGTTGCCCCGAGCTAATTCCCGAGTCAAGCGCAGTCCTCCAGCCAGTTAGGTCTCCCATCGCCCGTTTTTTTCCAGTTAGAGTTCAGAGTGGAAAAGCCCGTCGTCACACTACAATAATGAGAACCTCGCTACAGAGATCACCTCTACAAAATGGCCAGGATTTTTTCGTCCCGACCAAATGCCAATTTATGGCTGTTGTGGAGAGTATCTTACGGACGCTAGTAACTGTAAACTTTCAACTGCTCCCAAAGCATTTCAGTTAATGGGCCTACGTGACGGTGTGCACCTAAATGTATCAAGTTCGACGTTTGTAATCCTTGTTAATCTTTTCCATCCTTAACCATCCTTGTTCCTTTGTGGTTTATTATTATCTCTTTGGTGTTTTTCTTTAACAAATAAAGACGCCTAAGTCGTGTATCACACTGTGATAAAACAAGACGGGCATTTGAGAACACGAGGGAAATCGTAGAAAAGCGAGTGTTTCCTACATTTCTCGAGTGTTCTCAAATGTCCGGAGCTCGTGTGCTTTATGATATAGAGGTAAAGTGGCGAAAAAAAATAAAACACGCTTTTTCCATGTTTTATACTCTGATAAAACAAGGGTTTTTGACCAGTCAGAGCGCGCGCAGGGTCCTATCTATATTAAAAATCTTAGTAAACTACTATTTCCTTCAATTAAAAGGTAGTCAAATTTTTTATGTGCCAAAATAACTCAAAATGCCGCGACTGAGCTCCTTAAAAGCTCGACGACAACGATAACATGTTTGTACTCGCTAGTTAGCGTATACAGCTGTCTTCTTATAACCATTAATCATTTGATAGTGTTATTGTGTCAAAACGTCGAACTCAGGTCCGCGTCGACGATCAAATCCGAGAGGATCCTGGGTACTACCGCCTACTGCCTCGATCTCTTGCTGAAACAAACCTACCCATCTTCTACACTTTTTAACACCCCATCTTTCTAAAATGAACACTTTTTTCCTTTCTGCTCTCTGATACATTGTTGTTATTAGTATGGCGGCAAATAGTGAAGATCTCTTTCGGTGACGGCATGAACGTACATGCGTTCCGGTACTGCTTCACGCCGTAGCTTTGCGTTCTACTATGGGAAAGTGCCTGGTCTGACGTACTCTTCACTACATGAAGATAAACCTGATGTTTATTTCTCATTTTAACGCTTTTTTCGCTCTTTGAACAGACTAGTTTGAAGATAAAGTACTCAATCGCAAAAATTTGTTCGAAGACAATTGTTTCTTGTCAATTGTGCAGAAAATCATTCTCGTCCCCAGAGGCCGCGCTCCTTTTAGTCAGCACCAGGAATCGCCACCTCTGGGACGGCCCAATTTTCTGAGTATGGGCAGAGTAATCGTTTCGTATTCTCAGCCAATCAGATTTGTCAGACTTGACTCTGAACATGCGCAGAGTGACGGGAAGTCCGTGAATCGCGGACTTTTGGTGTTGGACTAGACCAGAGGTCGCGATTCTTGGTGCTGACCAAAACGAGCGCGGCCTTTGGGGACGAGAATGACAGAAAATGTGAACGATTTAAACATCTACCGTGAGCGACAGTCATGTTAGTACTGGGCCGAATAGCCGCAAATAAGAAAGCTTCGCATGTACTAAGCTGAGCAATGATTGTTCATCGCTGTTCAAAATGTATTTTATTAGAATCAAAAGTTTTGTATTTTCGGACTTCTCACGTTGTAAGAATACCCAGCCCGTGCTGAAATCGAGCTTTTAATCAGTGATATTTTGTTTTTTTTGGTTGGAATTGCAGGCGGTTCTAAAACGCCAGCTGAGAGGCAAATCTAAGTTCTTGGAGATGTAAGACAAATACAAAAGAAGGAAATCCTCGTCATTAATCAAGCCTATATCGTATCGGAAAGTAGAATTAAGTCCCTGGTTTCCTTGAACGAAGCCATTTTTCTTAAGACACGTAGAGGCCGCACACGCCGTTGCCACACAGCAAAATCTTAATCCGTTTGAGTTTTGCGGAGAAAACAGCGTTGTCAACCCAGTCCCTCACGGCCAAAGAAGCCAAAGCAGTAGCTCGCCGTAGCGTATCTTAGATTCCAGTACGGGTATCATCGATAGGGCGCGCTTGTGTGTGCTTGAAAGAGGCCATAAACTCGGGGTAGTCGATATAGCCATCGTCATTACGGTCCTGGTCCTCTAAGATAGTGTCAACAAACTCTGCCATATCGTCCTCATTAAAAGAATCTGATTCATGGTGACCTTGGATGCAAATACGACCAGTGCAAAGTGAGTATTTTTTCTAAAAAATCTGATCTTGATCTAATACTTGTTATCAAAAAGTGGATCATTGGATAATGCAATTCGACACTTTGGCCATCCTGGGTTATGAGCCATTATACCACTGATTACATCATTTTAATAATGTGATGGTCAAGGGGATTTTAATAATAAATTTAAAAAAATATTTTTTTTAAAAAAAGATCCCCTTGAGTAAGTGAGTAAGTATGAGGAGGTTTGGTCGTTGCCAATTTTCCACAGAACGGAGGTATACTCCTTTCGTAAGCGTTTTCTGTTCAATTTGCAAGTTGTACTCAAGCTCACGTCATAAATTTTTCATTCTTATAATGTGTAATGAGTCATTTGTCCCAATTTATAAAATACATATGAAAAGTTACATACCTTAGTGATATACCCTGGATTACAATATGAGAATGGAAATTTAAAAACTAGATGCAACAGTGCAGAGAATTGATGCATTAATCAGCGCACTTGGTGGATATTTACCTTCGTCTTCAGAATGGTCGTGGTGTGAGAAGCCTTGAAATATCTCCAGTCCGTCTAACTTGTTGTTATTGTCAAAATCATGCATCAGGAAAAACTGAACTTCGCTTCTAGTTTCCTACAAGAAAAAGACACAAAGTTAGTCGGTTAAGATCTATTTTGCACACAAGCCATAAACACAGAAAGAGGTTTGGTTCTCTAGCCGGCAGGATAACTTTTTGTACCAAGAAGGTGAGCGAATTAACCATGCATGGATATAATGTCCTGATTTATTTTAGCGGACTTTGACAATAGCTAGCGTGCAGTACGGCCGACTGATTGCTAGAAGTTCACCTCATTCATGGGTCATAGCAAGAACACAGAAAATTCAGTTTCAGCATAAAGTTCGAAAGGAAAGAGTTCTCAAGTTTTTGCTAAAGATGAAATAAAGCAACACGGTATTGAGGCTGCCTCGCCCCCAGGCGTTTCTCTTCGATTGGAACGCGGTGCCCGTGGTGTTGTGGGACTGTACTAGCTATCAAACATTGTGCGGCGCGGGACGCGCTCTTTGTTTCGAGTTTCTCGCGCGCCGGCGCAAGGCCACAAGGCGGGTACAGGGGAAAACAAAGATTGCTCTCTCTCAGAATGTGTTCACGTGACGTCATCAAATTCTCAAACTAAAGAGCCCCTAAAGGTTTTATCCCCATTTGTCGGTTTTATCCTAGTCTCCTTCGCAGCCGTTATTAGGGTCGTCACGCAACGCTTCTCCCCCAGGGGGAGAAGCGTTGCGTGACGACCCTGATAACGGCTGCGGAGGAGACTACTTTTATCCGTGTTTGTCGAAAAATATACACTTATCTCGTGATTTTTAGCCATTTTGGGAGTTAAAGTATTAGGAAAAGTACTTGTGTAAATGTGTTTTGGTTCGGTTCAGATAATCAGTTGTCTAGAAAACCAAAGTAAGTTCCAGATGTTTACACTATTTTCCGGCCGCCATATTGGAGGTCCTCCAACATGGCGGCTCCATACTAGGCTCTATAATTTTGCGCGGAACATTTCGACGAATATCTCAACTTTGGGACAACGCACACACCTTAAACTTGGAGAACTGTCTTCTTTAAATATCGTCTCTAATATCACAATTTCGTCACTTTATCTTCTGAATGGTTTTTGATTTTATTTTTTGTTTGACAATGCACACACTCTATTACCATGCAGTAGTGCTCAGTGTTGCCTAACCACTCGAAACAACAAGAGAAATACAATTGAATCCCTCCCCAACGGCTACCATGAGCCAATGTTGAAATGTAAAGGCGCGAGGTGAAAAAAATTGTGCCAAAAGAAAGCGTGAAAAAAAAAAGTAGAATAAGGAACAAATATTCTAATTTAAAAGAATAGAGTATTGTTTTGGCAACAGCTTGGAAATATTGCCTGCTTCGTTAGTGGTTGCATTGTGCTATGATTCTAAAATTTTTCGAACTCAAAAGTTTCCTTTGTCAATTACGTAGCCATTGCCAAATAAATCAATAGAATGGTTAATTATTAGACCATGCGAGGGCTGAAATATTGGCCATTACGAAAACAATACTCTATTCTTTTAAATTAGCACATTTGTTCCTTAATTAATTTACTTCTTACATTTTTCACATTTTCTTTTCGCACATAATTTTCATCTCACGCTTTTACATTTCAGTTTTTTTGGAGGCTTGAGACTGGAAGCCGAATGCTTACGTTTTAAAATCCTTTCAAACCAGGAACGTTTTTACTCAAATGATTCATAATGCTGATTACTCCATTTTTAACAGTTATATACTTACATTGAGGTATTTAGTAGCTGCTTCGTCATCCATTCCCAGCTGTTCCATCAAATGTTCCTTGACATGGCTGTATATGTATGAAACGACATCAACAAGCTAATCTTGAAAGTTACAAAGCCTAAATCTTACATGTTATTACAAATCCTGAGCAAACATGCAGCGCAGCATCACTGACGCGGTGAAGCAGTACGAGTGTCGAAGGCGGATGTTAGCGACAAAGAAGGTTCTCCTTCCTTGAAACTCTTTTCATGAAAAAGTTGTCAACGAAGGGCCGGTAGTCATTAGTGGTTAGCGGAGCAAACCTAACGCAAGGAGTACAGCCGGATATCTGCGATACTTGCACTTTGAAAACCGGCAAATATGCAGCCATCTTGACCTCACAAACTTGGTCAAAAAACCTGGGATTTATTGTATGAGTAAAGAATACCAATTACGGGAGACAGCGGGCAATCCCGAGCGGTCAAGATAGATAAGATAGCGTCATAATAAAAGTTAAAAACGTTTCCCGGCTAAAGATATTATAAAACACAAGCTTTCGACTGCCTAAACGTAACTGGATTCTTCAACGGGTGAAATGATGAAAGAGGCGCTAAGAATTCTTAATTACTGCGATAAAAACAATACCACAAAATAAAATTAAGTAAAATAAAATTAAGAATTTTTCCAAAAAAGAATGCTGTATTGTCCTTGGACAAGAGTTATTGTTCGCACTGGAGGTTGTTAGGGGCGCTGTCCATTCAACCAAAAAATGGTGACAAATGGTATGGAAATTTCCTGGGAAATTTTCCAGAAAATCCGGAAATTGTTGAATTTCCGAAAGGCGAACCATTCAACCAAAAAGGGAAATCAACTGGGACGGAAATTTCCGAAAATTCTGGTATACTACCTCGCGAGCTTGTCCAGTCCTTTGAAGAAATTTAGAAAAAGCTGCTCCGTTTGCCAGTGGAAATTTTCGGAAACTCGAACTGGAATTTTTCATCGAATGGAAAGTACAGTGCTCATGGTGTGCCAAGATTCCAAGAACTTTCTAATACTAAAAGATAGCGTCGATTTGCCCGTTCGGGTAGCCAGTTACAATGCAGGATGTCAACTTGTTTCATCATACCCGCTTGAGGACTTAGCCATATAATAACTATACTTATTAACCCAGAGTGGGGTCTCAAATCTTAAATCTTAAACCGAGAGCTTGCCGTATCGACCGAGTGACAGCGAGGTCAATACGGCTAGACCGAGGTTTGAGATTTTCCCGTAAAGATCGAACGTTCGAGGTTAATAAATTGCAGGCCCGTAATCGGCCCACGGGCATTGGGAGAGAACCACACAACAACCTAGGCTACAAGCAGGAACCGCATACTTATAATTTTATTTTCGGTTTTTACTCGAAACCCTCTTAAGTAAACGCGACCTTCCCGCGAGACTATTCATAAATGTGATCCCTAATAGAAAAAGTTATTAAACAGAGTGAGTGGTCACCACTTCTTTTAACGTTCTGTGCCTCGTAACTAGATGAAAACGAAAACCCCAGAATCATGCCATCTGTTTACAAATCAATTTATTTGAATAAAGCAGGTACTGATAATCTGTTTTCTTAGCGGAGGCTTTCAAGCAGTAAAACGAACCTACTAAATATCTGATGACATCGAGAATGAAATCAGAAAAATTCACTAGTTACTGAATTTGGAAGCGGCTCATTTCGAAACCAAACCAATACTAAATTGAGACACACAATTTTTTCTACAGTAAAGAATAAAATCCTAGCGACTTACTATAAATCTTTGGCTTGATGTTCTAAAACCCGCTGTGCTTTTTTCCGATCTTTTGAACTCTCGACATGTCCAAGAAGTACAGCAATAACTAGCCAAGAAATAAACGATAATCTTCCATACCAACTCAAAGTTAATCGTAGAGGGAACATTGTTCGCACTCTGTGAGTTCACAATGGCCGACTATTAAATAACGCTGTACATTCGCATTTTCTTTTATTGCAGTGAATCATCGTTCGCGAGTGAAAATGTAAATATATTCGTGGTCGGGCGAAACCATTCGAATTTCGTTTATACAGACAGACAGGTGTACGTGGAAAACCCGCCAATCAGAGATCGCCTAATCACCATGGGTATTAATGAAACGGCTTGATCGACAAGCTTGTGGTTTTGATTCTGTTTGCCATATTTCATTTAACTAATAAAGAAGCTTAAGCCGTGTATTACTTAAATAGAACATATTTTCTATTTCTTTTAGAAGACACCGCGACGAAAAAAAAAGAAAACAACTTGTTAACTTTGATTATCAAAATTTACAAAATAACTGAGATACTACGCACGCCCTGATTGGTCAACAGAGTTGCTAAACCTATGTTCTATTGTACCGGTAAACCACGGTTCACGATCTATGGCAGCTCTAGGCGGAAACTGGAGAACTCGGAACTCTAGCGATAACAAATGTAATAGACAGTTTTGCCTTTCACTGGCTGAGATGTCAATAACACGAATATCTTTTCATTCAACATATACATGGAAATTTGCAAGGAAAGACAGGACTAGAAGTTGGTCGTCATATAAAACTTTATCTTTTTTTCCACGGCAAAACTTTTACGCCGACTCCGGGTACGCTTAGCTTGCCAAGCACATGAAGTTTGGACTACTTGCACACTTTTCGTACAGCCTTTTACTTTCGTGATGATCGATTCCAATTACGAATCCCTGCATTTCTCCGTCAGAATACTTTTGAGTTAATTAATATGCTTTTTGCCTTTCACCGATAACCTTTTCCTTTCCTTTCTTAAAACTCTCTTAGCGTGAAATGTTTTCATCGCTTTGCTCTGCGGATTTCGTGTCTGGCGCGGAGTCCGCTGTGCTTTCATTCTTTCAGTCGCTCTGATTGGTTTGTCGCGTCATCTCATGAATTTGATGAGAATAAGCAACTTGATCACGAGAGTACAATAAATTTTCCTCTCATTGACAGACTTTTTTCCATAGTTATTTCATAAAAGCGATAGACCACTCTTTCCATGGGTTTACCGGCGCAATAAACCACTTGGGATGTTGGGAGAACACTCGAAAAGCTTGTAAATCACTCGCCTAACGGCTGGTGATTTACAAGCTTTTCTCGTGTTCTCCCAACATCCCAAGTGGTTTATTGCGCCAGTAAAACCATAAAAACAGTGGTCTATTGCTTAAGTAAATTCTCTTTGCTCGCGTCATCATTACGTCAACAGCTCGTGCTAACTCTGTGTTTCTATCGAGTTTTAGTATAAATCTACTACCGTTCCATCACGAATGCCGTCCTCTGATTGGCTATGCTACTCACGTTCTGTTCTGTGATAGATAGTGAGTAGTGTGGCAGCGTGCGCTGGGGGTTGCTTCTTTGTGTTTTTGAAGTGTCTGTGAAGAGGATTTAGATGAAAGTTTTGAACGACTAGCTAGATTTATACTAAAACAATTAGATTATTCGCTCTCGATTTCTATGCGTGATAGTTGACTCGGGCTGCGTCCTCGTCAACTATCACGCGATAGAAATCGAGAGCGAATAATCTAATTGTTTAATAGAATCACGATTTTAACCAATCAGCGCGCGTATTTTCTTTGGACTGTTTTCTAAACTGTGATAAAACACGACAGGCATTTGAGAACACGAGGGAAATGACAAAGCACGAGCCGCAGGCGAGTGTTTTCTACATTTCTCGAATGTTCTCAAATGTCCTGAGTGTTTTATCACAGTGTAATACACGGCTTTGGCTTCTTTATTTGTTAAATAAAATATGGCGTATCGACTGAGCGGTAACGAGGTCAATACGGCCAGGCCGAGGTTTGAGATTTTCCCGTAAAAATCGAACTTTCGAGGTTAATAAATAATGATATAGATTTTACCCGCGCAAAACAATAAGACACGCTTTTTCTATATTTTATACTCTGATAAACATGGGTTTTTGACCAATCAGAGAGCGCGCAGGGTCCCATCTATATTATAAATGGGATTATGCAATAATTGGATAATCCCACAAAAACGATGAACTTAAAGGAGGTCAGTCACGGTATTTTGTCCATGAACAAAATTACCTTTTAATTGAAAGAAACCTGAAAACAGTAGTTTGCTAAGATAGAAAAACACCAAACAGATAATAGCAAACCATAAAGGAACAAGGATGATTAAGGGAGAGGAAGATTGGCATGGACTAGAAACGACAAACTTGAAAGATTTAGGCTAGATTTTTGAAGATGCGCAAACCGTCACGTGGCTCCTACTATTGGCACAACGTAAAAAAATGCTAAGGAACAGCGTCACAATATATACAGTAAAATCAAGTAGCAAAATTTCTAGTCACTAATAATTGGGGAAATCAGAAAGTAGACGATGTGAGTGGGTTCTAGTGGTTCATAAACCTCTGTGATTTAATTTAGTTTTTTTTAGAGTGGAACAAGCGGTCCAAAAAGGGCGCCTGTAGTAAAACTTGTGGGGGAGGTGGTATCAAGATTAGGACTCGTACTTGTCAGGGTACCCAGCCCTGTGGGGGGAAAACGCAGCAAACCAAAACTTGTGGAAAGCGAAAATGCCGCTGTAAGTTCACGAACCCTCCCCTCCCTATCCGATTCATTAACCACGCTTAAAAAAACCCATCTGTTGTCACATAACTGTACGCGAACTTACAGTAACAGAAATGTTTCTCAAAATGAAACTTTAATACCCTCAGTTAAGATTCAAATTGTGGCAAAAACAAAAATTCGATCTTTAACAGAGTTTTCATGTGTAGCTGCGTTCAACAGAACGCAGTTCTAATCGCGGTTGCATAAAAATTCGAGACCTGTCTATCTGTCTGTCTGTCTATCTATCTATAAATTCTTCAGGGGCGAATGACATCATGTCCATGCTCGTCGCGCCTCCATGTGCTCGTCGTGTCTCCATGTGTTTATCTGCTGTTACCGGCAAATAACATGGAACAAATGTACTATATTCTATGAAACAAATTTAGCCGTTAATTTACGGCTAAACATGGGTATTGCTACATAAAATGGAAAAAATTTATAAGTTAATTTACGGCTAAATTGGGCAATTGTAAGTATTTGGAAAAATAATTAGCCCTTAGTTAATGGCTAAGTTCCGCATTGTATAATAAAAAGATAAATTTTTATATATGTTTACTGAAAAAGTTTTCGGCTAAAAAATTTTGATATATATAGAAAAAAGTTAATGCAAATTTTTTATTTATATATATACCCACCACTGCCTGTCTTGAATTGTTATCTCTAACAGAAATTTACTACTCTTGGATCGTATGTTATTGTTCAGTCGTCTATGGCTGATTATTTTTGATCTCCCACTTCTTTATGCTTGTTTTCCTTTGAATGTTGGTAGTAGTGGGAGACTATACATCAATAAATAATAAGTGTTTCATGTGTATAGTTACGCATAATCGTCAACCCACCTGGAGCAGAACCAGCCAATGTGTTTGAAGCAAATGCTGAATTACCCGCTGGTATTTTAAAAGACTATGGGCTTGAAATTAACTTTGCTATATTTTCCAAGAACTAAATTTATCCACTTACACTGTAGTGATCTAACAAGGAAAGCTACAGCATGCTGCTGTTTAGGATATCAAATTTAGAATGGAATAGAACAAAACAGAATGCATAATGACATAATGCAAGTGACTACTTAGAAAGCTACATGGCAATCCCAAGTTTTAAGAGCTATTGCAAGCGGTCAATATAGTGTATCTGCTTGTATTTTAAAATGTTGTTACATCTTGGTTATCTCAGTCAAAACATCTCACTATAGATGATCTAGGATACAGCTACATGCTAGATTATTCTGAATTAAGTTGGTCACAGTCATTACGAGTCAACACAAGGAAGTGCTGCGGAGACTGTTTTTGGCAAAACATTTAACAGCCAATGTAGGAAATGTTAATAACGGTACATGATCACTGTGTTGTTGACCACAGGACTTGCAGTAAATGATAAATTTTAAACTGATAGATATTTCAAATGACCTGCATAGCACTGTTCTGGGTAAGGAGCTCCCTTTAGTTTACTTAAGTTACATTGAACCTTAAACTTCAGCAGAGTTGCGATATGAGGACATGCAATGAAGGCACAGGACCATGAGCAATTCAGTCATTGCTAATTGACAGCGCCTATCATTCACAGTCTTCCAGTTTACTAATTTATAAGTGAACTTAACGTTGGCTGCTGTTTCCAGAATATGGTTTTTGTGCTAT